TGTTATGTGAAAAACCCACATTATAAAAATAAATAAATAAAAGGCATTAGAAAACAGGGAAATCTTTTTCAAATAAGAAGGCAAACCACAGATGGAAAGAGGGAAGAAGGGAAAGGAATCTTAAAAAAGGAATTGAAGAACAAAATGGAAATAGAGCTTTTTCAAATGAGAAAAAGCAAGAGTTGGAAGGAGCAGGGAAGCATGGAAGGGAAAGAAGACCAAAACAAGAAGTAAGATGTGTTGTGTTCGTGTGCAGCTCCCCAGGATAATTCCATCCTTGTGTGTGCACTACAAACATGTACTAATACAAACTAAATTGAAGAAGTTGAAAAATAAAAGGCTTTTTTAAAAATACATATATAAGAATTAGAGAAAGTAGGGGGTTTTTATGTTTTTGTTTATTTGGTACAGGATCTCACTACACAGCTTGGACTGGTAGTGATCCTCCTGTCTTAGCCTCCCCAAACTGGGATTACAGGCGTGTGCCACCATACCCAGTTTCAGTGGCTGGCACAGTGCACCCAGGGTTCCAGGACGGGACACGATGCATGTAGTACTGGGGATGGAACATGTGTCTTTGTCCTTGCCAGGCAGGCACTTAGACTGCCGAGCTATCTCCCAGGCCCAGTGATAATTTTTAAGTACTAGGTAATACAAAATTTCCAGAAAAGACTAGTTGTATAAGATAAAATTTGTAATGACAGCTTTCTTAAAAAGAAAGAGTCATTACTCTGAATAACTACTGTGACTATAACAATATGCAGAACCAGGCATGGTGGCTCATGCCTGTAATCCCAACACAAGGGATGCTGAGGCAAAAGAATTATTGCACATTCCAGACCAGCCTGGGCTGCAAAGTGAGCTCATGGCCGTCCTGCACTCCATAGTGAGACCCAGTCTCAAAAAGACAGAAAAAAAAAAAAAAAAAAACAGAAAACACAATGTATTGGTTATTGTTACTGCCCTACTAACCTGTATTAAACTATTTTATTGTTTTTTTTTTTTTTTTTTTTTTGGTTCACAACTTTAAAAAGTGAGTCTTGAGTCTTTGGTATAGTATTTAAATAGTATGAAATATCGCCATGAATTGGCAAACAGATAACACTGAATTAAACTGAGGAGGAAAAAAAAAAGAATAAAGTCAGTATTTGAGAAAAATGTTAGTATCTTTGTACACTTGTTAAAACCCCTATACAAAGATCCCCACAGAAATTATTTTAAAGTGCATCTTAAATTTATAGAAAAAGTGCCTCCTTGAGAAAGTCTCAGTAGTGTTTTGAAAAGGGCTAGATAATTACGTGTAAGGTATCAAGTATACTAGTTAGTATTGGATGTGACATGGTGAAAGATAGGGCTTCGCGGTAATTTGTAATCCAGGCAAGTCCCTGAAACAATTAGTAATCTTTGGAACATGTGATACTATTAAATTGTTCATGCTCGTATCTTAGAAAATGTGACCTAAAGAGTTTAAGCCAACATGTCATAACTTGGCATAATTTGTTTTACAAAGCATAGTGTAGTTTTGCAACTTGTACATTCAGTATAATTTTCAGTTCCCCAATTTTTAATGCCTTTCAGCCTAAGTGAAACCATTATCTTTTGAAGACGTCAGTCTAGATTTGTACTGCTTTTTGTCAGACCATGATTGTATATTAGGTATTGTATAATTGTTTTTAATTTGTACATGCACTATGTCTTCATAGTTATGATAGCTTTTAATTATATAGCTTAACCAAAGATAAAGTTGCAGCAGTTTAAGACTAGAGATTATAGGGACAGACAAGTAGCTCAGCAGATTAAAGCACTGCAAACAGGGGCCATGGTTCAATCCCCAGGCCCGCCGTGCTGCCCCTCCACCCGGGGCACACTAAGACAGCAGTTGAGATTGGGTGTGGTGGCATGCGCCTGTAATCCCAGCTCTTAGGAGGCTGTAAAGAGGTGGTTCACTTTGAGTCCAAACTAGTAGTGAGATCCTGAACACCCTGTAGACCCTTCCCTAAAAATACAAAAAAAAAAAAAAGACTAGAGATTATACATTTGACCACTGCCATACAAACAGTAAAGCATGATTGTTGTCAAAGTTTGAATGGTACCTCAAAGGCATGATTCAGGATTTCCAAATCTGGACATGAAAATATGTTAAATATTTTAGTATCCTTCCTCTTTATAAGTGGAAAAGAGAATATTTTTGTGTTACATAGTAGCCATCCCGGAAGCTCAACTATAACTAAAATATGAAAGACATCCTAATAGTTTTATATTCTCAATTTGGGAGAGATAAAATCAAGATAAGTTGTCTGAGGAGGCAAGATAGTAATGTTATAAGTAAACACAAAAAATATTTATAGGGGTAGGGCCTATAACCTAATGGTGCTTACCTAACATGCACACGTGCTGAATTAATCCGCAGCACCACTATAAAAACATTTCTTAAGAGTAATTTGTGCCATCATTCAATTTAGATGAACACAGTTTTACTATTTTCTAACAAAACCAATAAAGGAATCTAAGAGATTCAAATTAAGATTTTTGTATGAAAAATAAACCTAACACTTGCAAAACTAGAATGTTGTTCTAATATAATTTTCTAATATTGTGGAAAAATTATGAAGAAAACACAAAACCAAAAACTATTAAACTGAAAGTATTAAATCATTCTAATTTGTCCAGTGTCATCCTAATAGAAATAATATATGAATTTTTTTCTAATACAATTTGGAAACCTATATTTAGAAACCAAAATTTTAAGACTCCTTAATTATGTCCAAAAACTCTGAATGTTCCTCTTTCTTTTTCATCTGGATAATGCTTGGTAACCAGGTAACTAAGGCAGTTAGCCAAACTTTCAGTTAAACTTTCTTTTTGTCAGTATATAACTAAAGGGATAAGATTATGCCCCACCAGAATTTGTAATCTGATTTTTTTTCTCCCTTTTGATGTTAGAGCTGTTTATCTGATTCTTCTGCATACTCTATAGTATATAGCCTTGTAATTTCCACTTAATTCTATTATTGTTCTTCAAAAATACTTAACTTGTAAATCTACACATTCATTTAAACAGCTGTTATTTAAAATGTCAGTTTTATAAATAATCTATTTTCTGTTATTTCTGAAATTGTTTGCAGCAAAATAATAACATGAATGACAAAGAAAATACCCTAATGTGTATTTTTCACCCTGCTGTGGAAAAAGTATTATATGACTGCAAAGTTTTTCTAAACCAACTTGTTTAATAAAGTTAAAGAACTGTAAGCCTTGGCCTTTATAAAATTTGAATAATTTTGTTAATTAAGATCAGAAAACTACTCATAGTATATCAAATGTATTTGTGATTCTAGATGTACAGGTCTTCCAAAATGTAAAACAGATTGCTCATTGTGATAAGACTTTCTCTCAGATTCAGACCTCTGCCTTTAACAAAAAAAATAAAAAATAAAAAGATCAGAAAACTAATTCCTACTAGTTTTACAATAGCAGTTTCCCAAGCACTTACAGTAAAGATGGGATTGCAGTATCACACAGCAGCCAGTTAAATTAGTACAGTTTTTAAGGAAAACCTCCAGGTGACACTAAATAAGATGGTCAGAGTTTTCTCCAGGCTACTGTAACAGGACAGCTGGATCCAGAGCTCTACTTTTCCAACACAAAGCCAAAAGTCTGGTCATACATCACTAATGAGGCAAGAGAAAATGAAAGGGGCTTGCAGTTACTGTTAGGAAAGCTGATACATGTGACTCTGGGTATTGCCCATGAGAACAGCCTAGGCATCCAGAATGTGCAGATTTGTCTTCAACCTAAAATAATATTTCACATTTACTCACTTCAAAGAAGTATTTTTGGAATTGGGGTAGAGCTTAGTGGTAGAACAGTTTGGATTTGTTAGGCCCTAGGTTTGATTCCAGAGTGCCACAAGAAAATAAATAAGTACTTTTTAAACTTTTATAATATTTCTGAAATCAAAATATATCTTAAATTTAATATATAAGTTAAAATTAAATTTTAGAATTATATGTGTTAAACACCCTCTTGCTTATTTTCAAAATCTGTGATTGTTCACAGTGTAAACTAATTATATGTACTAGTATCTACAAGTAACAATGGGAAATCAGAAATTAAGTGTTCTTTAAACATCAATATCATAAAGAAGAAAAGATAATCACTTTTGTTATATATTTATCGCATAAACTGAGTGTTCTTTATCTCATTGTTCCTAACTACCTTGGAAGGTAGTTATTATAACTGATTTTATAAGTGAGAAAACTAAGATAGCTTAAGCAACTTGATTTTAATCTTCTCAATACAGAGCTATATATATACAGAGCTATATATATACAGAGCTACTATATACTCTGATGACCACATTAGAATAACCTAACAAAATAAGCCTCTTTTGATTTTCTTCATGAACAAACAGTAGATATTTAATCTCTAATGGTAAATTCAACTCAGAGTAATGGAATTATAGGTATGTGCAGCTAAGTAGTTTATATTTGTTAGTCTCAGAAGAAAAGACATCTCTTTCAGAGTTTTAATATCTTTAATATCTTTAATACTGATTCCACTTGAGAAAAGAGATCACAAATCTTGGGGGGGGGATAAAATTCCTTCATACTTGAGACATACAGTGTCAACAAAGTCTCCAGCACATATTCTCATTGAAAGTTAAACTTGAAGATAATATTGGGAAGAAAAAAAGATCATTATTTTATTTGATTGGACCAGTAACTATTACAAGAAAGGCCCAGTATCTTCAGCGCATTATCATCAAATTGTGCTGTTCAATCACAGTTGAAATGTCTACATTTTTAAAAACTCTATAGAAACATTTTCTCATCTCTTACTTCCAATATTTATACAGATTCACTGAGCATATACATTCTACATGCCAGAAACTATTATAGGTGCTAGAAGTGCTATTAGCACACCTGTCTTTTTTTTTCCATTAGAAATAGGCAACATTACCTAAGAAAATAATTAGTGATGGTTTTTTGGCTTTGTAGCTGCTAAATCCTGAAGATGACCTCTTACCAGGAAAGATTCGAGACAGCAATCGTTCAACCCTCCTAGCAACAATTCAGGAACATGGTTACCCCACAATCAACTTGGGAATTGTGGGAGACAAGTAAGTATTATGTTTTACTTTGAAAAGTTGTTGTTGTACAATTATGAAATTGTAGAGTACTAAGTGGCATTGCTGCTAAAGAAACAAACTTAACATCACCATTTTCACTGATCATTTTCTTCCCAAGCCAAAAAGTCATAGAAGTACCTATACCCTTTAGGAACAGACATTTTTCTGGAATGCATATTACAACAGAAAGGTATTTGACTTTGTTACCGGTATGTTACATTTGCAAGGATCTTTTTTCCTGGTTTTCTTAGGAACTAATGGCAACAGTATTATTCCTATTTATAATTTTGTTTCAAAAAAGACATGAATGAGAATGGACGCCTGATATGCGATCCTATGACCATGCAACAATAGAAATGAGAACCAAGCCAGGGAGCACAAGCATATGCTGGCAAACCAAGCTTTGGAGACAGGGAGAAAATCAGGAGAGGGAAAGAAAAATCAAGCTACACTCTTTTTTTTTTTTTTTGGTGGAACCGGGGATTGAACTCAGACCCTTGCACTTTGCCAGGCAAGTGCTTATTCTACTGAGCCATCTCCCTGGCCCAAAATTTTATTTATTTATTTACTTTATTTGGCAGAACTGGGTATTGAACTCAGACCCTTGCACTTACCAGGCAAGTGCTTATTCTCCTGGGCCATCTCCCTGGCCTTTTTTTTTTTTTTTTTTTTTTTCAGGCTAGACTCAACAAAGAAAGGGACAGCTTTTTTTGAATTATGGGAGAGGATTTAAGGTCTGGTTGATCATTACCTCAATTCTGATTCTGTAAGGTGGCTCCAGAGGAGTCATTTTTAGAGGTCATTCTGGTTCCTGTGAAGTGATTCCTTTTGCTTGGGGAGATGAGGGAGGGGATGACTCAGTTTTTGTCATGAGCCAATTGCTCCCATTTAGGAGCATGTTTTCATTATAAAACGGTTTGCCCATGAAGCCCTGCTATTCCTGGAATCCAGAGTAACTGCAGGTTTAGGGCAATGAGTAGAGACTTCTAAGTATCACACCAGGGGTTCTACTGTGAAAGCTCTCAACTGAATGTTCTGAAAGTCTTGAAAATATCTTAGTTAATTCTTGGTATCCCATCATGAAGAGTGAAAAAGATAGGTTAGTGCTTATCTTATTTACTTTTCTCTTTGCTGAGACAAACTACTCAATACCCAAAATTAAAGGAGAAAAGATTTATTGTAGTTCATAGTTTTTATGGGCTCCAGTTCATAGTTGGTTGGCTCCAGGGCAGGGTGGTATGACAGAGGGGTATCTCATCACAGAGGAGAAACAGTTCATGGTGGACTGAAGACAGCAAAGCGGTGAAGTAGCAAAGTAGTAGCAGGGCTGCCTTCTTTCTGTCCCTTTATATATACCCAGGCTACCTGCCTTTTGGGTGGTGTCATCCACCCCAGGGTAGGCCTTCTTATTTTCCATACCCAGAATTATGCCAAACCAATCAGTGGACTAATTTAGTAATCACACACCTTTAATCCCAGCATCCCACATCCTAGATCCATCCATCTCTGAATAGGCCTATGTAGGACTACGTAAGGATTTGGGGGAACATCTAGACACAAGCCATAACAGAATTAAGGCCTCATCTGTCTTTCCATCCTTTCTGCATACCATTCTGTTTACTGGATGAGAAGTCAGGGCTAAGGCATAAGGTTTCTTCATTTTTGTTCTTATGGTGGTCCCTGGCGCAGTATCTGAAAGTTACTTAATTTAATATGCTAATATTAAATTTTGTGGGTTCCACACTGTTGATTCTTGATGAATATTTCCTGATAATTAATGTGGATGTTGTTTTATTCCAAAATGTAAGAAATTCAGAGAAATGTATCAGTCTTTTGTGTATGCCTTTTTATTTGATGGCAGTACCTTGTAACAGAGAGGGAATAGTTTGATTTTTTTTTAAGTAATTGATGCAAACAAAAGTTTTCTCAGTTCTGTGTTGAAGAGGTCAAGACTGAATGGTTTAGAATGCAGAGGTGGAGTGTGAAATGAAAGAATTTATAACTATTGTAGTGGAAATCTGTACCAGAAGTTTAGCAAAAAAAGCAAGATAAATTTACTCCACTACCTGTTGATATTCTGTGTGGGTTACCTCCCTCTTCATTTTTTTTCAGTGTGGACATTTGCTAATGAAAGCAAATGTTGCTATACAGAAATCTCTCTAGGGGAAATAGTTCAATATATCAGCATTCAAAAAGGGTTTTTTTTCAGCATTCACAAAGCCTTTACTAAAATATGACAGATAAAGGTACTGACAGTCCTCTTCTCATTTAAGAATGCTTACATCTAGCTTTAAATTTTGTATGATTCTACTTCTTGTTCTTACCACTTACCATAATTTTGAAAATTAATGTAAATTATTGTAATACGCTGTAACTATTTAGATTGAATTGAACTAAAATTTCCCTTTCTTACTGTACCTTTTATTTAAAAGAAGAGTAATTTAATAATACAGGTTGTGATTCTTAGGGGGTTTTTCCTTTAAAAAGATAAATTTGACTTCATTCCTGTAATCCCAGCACTGCGCTCAGGAGGCTGAGGCAGGAGGTTCACCAAGAGATAGAGGTCAGGGTGGGATATATAGTGAGCTCAAACCCGGCCTGAACTGCATAGCAAGACCCTATCTCAAAGAAAAATAAAAATTAATTAATCAATTAAAAGTTACAAAATCCAAAAATAAAATAAGTTTTGGAACCCAGAACAACTCCACTCAGAGATACTAAGTAACTTGTCCAGCACTATACAACTATTCAGTGTCAGAAATAGGGACATAATTTAAACTTCTTTGGACTAAAAATCTGTAGTTCCCTGCTGTCATTACAGAGATGATATAGGAAAAATATATTCCCAAACTGTTAGATGTCAAATGTCTGTTATTGTTTTCTCATTGCTGGGACAAAATGCCCAACACCCAAAATGAAGGAAGAAAAGGTTTATTTAGCTCATAGTCAGTGGAGGTTTCAGTCTATACTGAACTGGCTCCAAGGCAGAGTGGCACATAGCAGAGGGAAGTAGTTCATGGGGGCAGAAAACAGCAAAACAGCAAGAGCAAATGGGAGGAGTAGTGGCAGCAATGATGACAGAGACAACAAGTCTGTCTCCCTTTATGTTTCATTCAGGCTATCCACCCCTGGCTGTGTGTAGTGCTCACGCCCATAAACCCAGCAGCACTCACACCCATAAGTATAGATCATGATCCAGTGGCTCATGAATTAGTCACAAACTCTAGAAGTCTACCACATGACCGTGTGAGGCTTTGGGGGGATAACTAGACACAAACCATAACTTCAAATGTGCTGATTCATGATCTTACAACATCAAGAAGCATTTTTTTGTTTTGGTTTGGTTTGGGTTTTTTTGTGGCTGGTGCAGCATGTGGTGCTAAGGATCAAACAGCAGTCCCTGCACTTGCCTAAGCTTGCCTAAGCAGGCGCTTTAGACTGCTAAGCATCTCACCAGCCATCAAGCAATTATTGGAAACAAGGAGAAGCATCTCACTCCTGGATTTCCAAGGAGGGTCCTGAGTATGTGGCCACTAAGCCCCTCTATCTGATGTCACTTAAAGGTAAGCAGGCTGCAGAACTCAGGCCCTCTAACCCAATTCTTTCATACAGTGTTTGCAGTAAGTGGGGATCTTAGAAAGAAACTTATTATTTTGTATTACAGTTTCCTTGGAACTGAGGAACTTAGTAGGAGGTAGCTTACCTCTCTTTAAGAGAAAGGAGGCCAGCCAAATAGCTCAGCGGATTAAAGCACTTGCTTAGGCAGACACAGGGCCCAGGAGTTTGATCCCCTGCATGCCATGCCAGCCCCGACCCTGGGGCGCGCTGAGGCAGCAATTGAGACTGAGTGTGGTAGTGCATGCCTGAAATCCCAGCACTTGGGAGGCTGTAAACAGGAGGATCATTACAAGTCCTGTCTACACAGTGAGACCCTGTACACCCTGTCCTAAAATACAAAAACAACAGCAACAACAACAACAATAATAATAATAATAATAATAATAATAATAATAATAAAAGAGAGAAAGGGGCTAATTCCATGTTGCCTAAGGAAGTTCATTCTTGGTCCAAAGTCCTAGTTCACTACTCTTATTTAAATTCCTGTTAGTATGGCTGATTATCCAACTCTGTCTCAGACTCTTCCTCTACTTAGCTGCTTCACTCATAAGCTAACTAAATAAATTATTTTCTACAGTATCCTTAACTGCCATTAAAGGAGAATGGACAAATACTGAATGAAACTACTACTTGCTAAAGGGGTACATTTGGGAAAGATGACAGTCAAGAACTTTCTCCAGAGAGGTAACCTAAGGGACCTTTGATAGGTATCATGCTGAAGTCTAGCACTTAGGGACTTTCTTCAGAAGACTGATCTAGTGGACTCCAGTAAAAGGAATTTGGCACATTCATTACTGGCTCCATCTGCATGACCATTTGGAGTTTGACAGCTTCTAGGCAAGAAAAAACAAATTTTACTGAAAGACTAAGAATGTATGCCCAAACATAAGAATCATAATGGAAAGACAAACTGGGGAAGGAACCATGTCTAGACACTATTTTTAAGGAATTGGAATGCTGTCTGTTCATGTAGTCTGTCTATAAATCTGATATTTCTTTTACTGTTTCAAGTTTTTTTTTACCTGATGTGAATTATTTATCTAAAGATAATAAGTTTTGTCTATCAGTGCACAAGTCCCTCCAATTTCAGTTGTAAGAAGAGGGAGAGTCTGTAATTTTGAAGGGCAGTTTTAGCTAAGGAATGTGGATGTTCTTGCTGAGTTTCTATAGCTGCCACTGTGACATTTTAGCTTCAATGAACCATAGAAGTTGTCAGCTACAGGTGTAGCTGGAGATTGCTATCAGGGAACAATACAGTAATTGGATCCCCCCTTTTTTATATTTACTACATTTTACTATTATTTTTATGCCTTTTTCTTTTTTTTTTTTTTTTTCAGAACCAGGGATTGAACTTAGGCCCTTGCTCTTGCTAG